TTACTACCAATGAAAAGTTTTCATATATAAATTATATTGAGACCCTTAAACAAAAAAAAAAAAAAAACAGTCCCAATGTGGGCGATTTAATCTGATTGTTAATGCAGCTGTTTCTGGCCTCAGAGGGTTTTGATGGAGAACATTAGAGAATAAGCAGCATCATGACGACCAGGAACCCAACAAACGGATAAGGGAGAACCTTCTAATGACGTCAAAATCCAGGGGTCCCCAAAGTGCGGGTCGGGGTGCCCTGTGGGGTCGTGAGACACCAAATGCAAATGTAAGCTAGTTTTCACAGTCACTGTGTTATGATTCCAGAGGTATGTGGAGGAACAAAATATATCATGAAATACAGGAATGTGACTGTCTCATAAATTAATAAATATATGTAACATTTATTTATCTAACTTATATTGATAAAACATGGTGAAATAATTGATTTTCCCATTAAATAAATAAACACCATTTAGAAAAAAAAAAAAAAAACATTTTTAAATGCATTTCTTATAAATAATTAAGGTTTTTCTTTAATTAAGGTGGCTGAGTGAATATGTATTTTAGGGGGTCACCAGGTTGTTGTTTTATTTTTTGGGGTTTTTCTCTCATGAAAAACAAGCGATCCAGAAAATCTGTTGAAGCTACAACAGTAACTTGTTTCCCTTATAGATCTGGACTTATTGGAAGAATAGCAGGAAAAAAAAACGTTTTCCATAGGCCATCAGACATCCTGTTTGCTGGTCATGACAAGCAGCAAAGTCCAGCAGAAGCATAACCCCAAGCATCCTATGGAGGCCCAGTTTGGATGAAAACATATCAGGCTGTAATTAATTCCACCATATAGGTTGTTACCATGGCGACACAATAAATCTCTTTCATAAATATAAACATCCATCCATCTGCCGTTCATTCTGTCAGGGTCACGGCAGGTGCTTATCTCCAGCAGTCTATGGGTGAGATGTGGAGTTAGACCCTGGACAGGTCACCAGTTCATTGTTCATTGTAGAATGTCAACATCAACATTTAAACCATTTTACAATAAAGCCAAAATTCCACCTCAATATCGATTCATTGCAACACAAAATGCTGCCTTTTTTAAAAACAGGTCCACACCCTTTACAGTAATATTAAACTGGATTCATTCCAGTCCAGTTCATATTAATAATCGTTTCATTTTCCATTGCTGAGCTGCATGCTGATCTGACAGCTCAACTCATTCAGCTACCCAACAGTGTCCTTTTTCCTGAATCTGTTTTTCTGGACTAATTTTCGGCAATCATAGGGGTTTCCATCCAAATGTAGCGCTAAATTGGGAAGAAATTAGCCAAACACAATGTAAATTACTTACTTTTTCCATGGACTACCAGGCTCCCCCTTTGATATAAGCAGCCAGGAGGGAAATTGGAAACAAAACAAGATGGATATAAACACCATTTCTGTCTATTTGATAAATAAATGTGACTCTTACCTTCACACCTGAGCTTGATTCACTTTCAGTTAAATTTTATAAGCTTACGATAAAACACTATGAAATCTTCCAACGGTTTGTCGATCTCATGAAACATCTGCAATCAGGACACTCCATACCCCATTAAAAAATCTTTGAAAAGAACGCTGCCCGCTATTGTTGTTAGCAGTGATCCTCTCAACACACATGAACTCACATGCTCAGAACCAGACTGAAACAATTTCAATTTAATGGTATTTTCACAATGTGGCAGCTTCATTCAGCTCAGAGCACTTGTGTGTGTCTGTGGAACAGCCACCTGCATCCCAGAGATGGATGAGAGGACCTAATTGAAAGCACATGTCGACTGGAGGAATGCTCTAGTCTCTACTGGTGATGAAAGGAAAGAGGAGGAAGGAGGGACCCTTGTTTTTTTGTTGGTTTTTGATTAAAGCAAAACATGTTAATGGAAAAAAAAAACATTTATGTGAAATATTTTTCAGCTTAAAGTCACGACCGCACTGCAAAGATGGTCAGTTCATATTAAAACCAAAAGTCATCTGATTTTTTTTTAGTGGAGAGTGGGTAAAGTTTTGTTAAGGTATTAGAAAAGACAGCTATTCACAGTGTAAAGGGCTTGTTATACTGTGTCGCAGTAAGCTTGTCACAGGTATGATGCAGATATTTTTGATTTAGGCCCAAATTTTGAAGCATGGTCTGCCCTATGTAATTCCATGCCACAGCGCTAGAGGGACCCACTAGCTGTGGGTCTAGATATGGCCGAGGTGAGGAAGTAAAAAACGCAAGGGGCAAGTTTGTGAGACAACAGGGGGAAATGAGGGCGAAAAAGAGTGGGGATCCAGGTGGAAAAAGGGTCCCAACGTTTTCGCACATCTCCCTCTTCTAGCTGGTCCATCTTCACGAGTCGTTTTCCACAATGGCGGATATACAAACTGAACATGCTGGTAAGGTACCAAACAAGAAATAGGCATATTGTACGCTGGGAACAGATCTGACTTACTGCCCGCAATGCGAACCAAGCTCCTGCTGCTGTCATACAGAAAAAGAAAGCCCTTAAGAGAGGGCTCCGGAATTCATACTCCTGGAGTACCCCCCTCAGGACACCACAATGGACACGGTTGAATACCTTCTCGAAATCCAAAAAACCTATGTGGGCTGGTTGGGCAAACTCCCACAAACCCTCTACCACCCAATGAAGGGTATAGAGCTGGTCCAGTGAGCCGCAACCGGGATGAAAACCGCATTGACCCTCCTAGATCTGAGGTTCGACTATCAGCCAGATCCTCCTCTCCAGCACCCTGGAGTAGACTTTACTGGGGAGGCTGAGGAGTGGGATCCCTTTCTAATTGGAGCACACCCCTGATCCTCTCTTTAAAGAGAGAGACCACTACCCAGGTATGCCAATCCAGGGATACTGTCCTCGGCTGCCACACGGTGCTGCAGAGAGGTGTTAGCCAAGACAGTCCTACAACTTCCAGAGCCTTGCCAACAAGAAGCTTTCTAACAACTCAGTGGCTTCAGCTTGGCTGATAGGCAAGTCCCAAGCTTCTGTACTCTCGTCAGAAGACATGTCGATGGGATTGAGGAGATCCTCAAAGTATTCCTTCTGCCGTTGACAACATCACCAGGCAAGGTCAGATGCTTCCCACCTGCACTGTAAACAGTGTTGGTGAAGCACTGCTTCCCCATCCTAAGGTGCCGGACAGTTTGCCAGAACACTCTTGAGGCCGACGGATAGTTCTCCATTGCTTATCCGAACTCCTCCCAGACCTGAGTTTTTGCCTAATGAGACAGCAGAAGCTGCAGCACGGTTGGCCTGCCAGTGCCTCCCTGGAATCCCACTAGCTAACAAGGCCAGGTAAGCCTCCTTCTTCAGCTTGACGGCATCCCTTACATCCGGGCGCCATCATCAGGTTCAGGGATTGCCGTCACGACGGGCACCAGAGACCTTACGGTCACAGTTACCAACAGCCGCATTGTCAATGGAGAGGGAGAACATGGACCACTCTGACTCCATGCTTCCAACCTCCCTCAGGATTTGGGAACCTCTATTTGCCAAATAGAAGCTCAAATAACAAATCTAATGGTTATTATTGGTTGACTGAAGTAAGATTTAATCTAGAGGGCCTTGTCTGCTCGGAACCCAATGACTTGTAGATCTGCTGGTCTGCTTTTAGATTACTGACCTCTAATTCTGACTAATTAACCAGTTAAGGGCTGAAACTATTAATCCGCTTAATTGATTATTGAAATAATATTAAACTAATTTAGTAATCGAATAATCATTAACCAGTGTGTAGAGACTCTAAAACGTGCTTTTAGCTTACTGAGCAACCCACTTAGAGCAGCAATTATAAAATTGTATAAAGAAATATGTAAACATTTTCAATTTAACAATGGAAATGCTTTCATCTGTCTATATGCTCTATCCAGACCTCCTCATGTAGAAAAGTTTTAATTTCATCTGTTTCTATTTAAACCTTTGGCTATCTGATTATTAATCGATTAATCAAAAGAAATAAACGAGAGATTTATTGATTTGCAAAAATAATCGTTAGTTGCAGCCCTACTGCAGTGTATACAGTGGGGCACTAAACATTGAAGTTTCAGTTCTAATGCCCTTTGTGGCTAAAAGTTACAGTGTTGCATTGGTCAAAATAAAACATTTCCCATGTCAACAGCAATGGGCAAGGTGTTCCCTGTCTTACAAAAGGGTTTCAGATTTTCTCTAATCACTAGAGATGCTACGCCCTGTTCTAATCTGACTCTACTCCAGCGCTGTAATAAGTTAATGCTTTTATACAGCCTCCTCCTCTGTTTTAGAGTTCAGTCCCTTACAACCCATTTGTAGATTTGGTGGGACCAGCTTGTGGCAGATAATTCACTGTACAGAGGTAATAAAACAAGACAATGATAAAATGAGATAAGATTAGCCTTTATTGTCTCTCTGCAGATAATCAGACTCTTGTTGTAGCACAGCAAAAATACAGTCTAACAAAAGTTTACAAGGCCAGAGTACCAGGAACAGAGCACAGTTTTACACAATGCCTTTCTTGAGAATGCCCAGATTTAGAAATGCTATGTTATTATTTTGGCATATTTAGAGCATGCTGACATTGTTCTCAGGCATTTCAACTTTTTAAGCACCAAATTTGTCAGTCTAAATTTAGAACCAGTGGAGGAAATCATCTAAGGAGTTGCAGGTTCCTGAGTTTTTGACTATGACCCCAATATTACTTGGTTAGTGTCCAACTGATATCAATGTTAGAGACCAAACTCCCAGTCTTGAATGGTCCGCTCAAAATTAATCAGCCATAAATAAAACCGTGAAAGCATAAAGGTTACCTTGATGTGTAGCTAATTCACTTGTTGATAAAGTGAGATATAAAATACAGTGCTGCTTTCATGGTGTAATAGCAGTCTTGTTTATTTAGATAAACTCGTCATGCATGGAAGCAGTAACTAGATGAGAGAATGTCGAAGCAGGAAGAGTTGTCTTCTAAGTGTTTTTTTGTTGTTGTTGTGTTTTTCTCAGGGATTTAAACTACAACAGCCTGGTTGAGTTTCCTACAGCCATCCGCTCTCTCAGTCACCTCAAAGAGCTGTAAGTCTGAAACTTTGGTTTAAAAAGGCAAAAGCAAAAGAAAAAAGGGAAAATTGTAATTTCTTCTGTCTTTCTTTTCAGAGGATTTCATAGCAACAACATTCAGTCTATTCCAGAACATGCCTTCACTGGGAACCCCTCACTGATCTCTTTGTAGGTACCAATAATAACAAATGTTCGCTTTTCTTTGTTTAATGACTTACATTTATACTCTGCTAAAAAAAAATAGAATAAAGGGAACACTGAAATATCACATCCTAGATCTGAAAGAATTAAATATTCTCATTGAATACTTTGTTTTGTACAAAGGTGAATGTGCTGACAACAAAAAAGAGTCACACAATTAAAGTGGAAAAACAGACTACTTCCAAGTAATGTAGGGTCAAGATGAGGCTCATTATACCCTCCTCATGGAGTCTGTTTCTAACCATTTGTGCAGACATTCACATCTGTGGCCTACTGGAGGTCATTTTGCAGGACTCAGGCAGTGCTCCTTCTGTTTCTCCTTACAAAAAGGTGGAAGTAGAGGTCCTGCTGCTGGGTTGTTGCCCTCCTACGGCCTCCTCAACATCTCCTGGTGTACTGGCCTGTCTCCTGGTAGCACAGAGATTGCAAACCTTTTTCCCACAGCTCATGTTGATGTGTCATCCTGCATAAGCGGCACTACCTGCACCACTTGTGTGGGTTGTAGAGTCAGTCTAATGCTACCGCGAGTGTGAAAGCACCACCAACTTTCAAAAGTGACCAAACCATCATCCAGAAAGCATAGGTACTAAGAGACCGTCGGTGGTCCCCACCTGCAGAACCTCTCTTATATAGAGTGTCAGGCTAATAACCAACAATTTCAACCTGTTGTCTATTTTGTTTGCACAACAGCACGTAAAACTGATTGTCAATCAGTGTTGCTTCCTAAGTAGACAGTTTGATTTCACATAGTTTTGATTTAAATTAAGTTATATTGTGTTTACGTGTTCCCTTTTATACTTTGAGATTTTATTGAAAGGGCTACAATGATACAAAAGGGCACCATTTTCTTTATAAAATAAGATTTCAACAAAACTAACCCCGTCTGGAAAAGAAAATAAATGTGTGAAAAAGAGCATTTTAAAAACACTAAGATTTGTATACATATAATTTATACTGCACAAGGAGAAAGCGTCCTGAATTTTCCAATCTGTGCATTCTTAGTTTAAGTTTTGTTTTCTTAGTCCTTGTGTGCCAGATGTTTTAAAAAATCTTTTATTTTTCTTTACTGATTCTATTTATTGCCTGGTGAACAGTGAATGTTTCTTTTGTCTCAATCAGATTTTTCTACGACAATCCAATTCAGTCTGTGGGAGGGTCGGCCTTTCAGAACCTGCCGGAGCTTCGGACACTGTGAGGAAAACACTCGACTCTGTTAGAAACTTAAAGGCTTATTAGGTTTTAACACGTTCTCATATTAGACGTTTGGAAGCCAATGTTTGCTCCTTTTCTGCATATTCAAACCTAAGCATGAAGTAAGTCAATTCATGATGAAAAATGTAAGAAAACTAGGATTTCTTAGTCAGGCTAAACCATTAACTATATAATAACACGCTCCAGTTAGAAATTGCAGATTAGATTTTGTGAGAACTATTGCACACTTCAAGCTGATGCTATCACACTGTTTTATAAATTATCCCCTATTAATTGTTGATGGTGGTGGCAGGGCTTGCCCTTCAGCAGGAGGCAGGGTAGACTGGAAATATGACCAGGAAATCACAGCTACTCAGAGACAAAGAGAGACCCAGGAGTCAAACAATGAAATGTCTTCAGTTATTCTATACCTAATGAGATGTTTTGACTTCCTCATTCAGCTCCATGCAGAAAGACCCCAGGCTGGGTATATATTTGGGTGGGCTAGTTCTGTTTTCATTCACATTTCCCTTAAAAAAAACCTTAACTATTTGGTATTAAGTCTTTAACTATTTTAAGGTTGACCGTTTTCTTTTTCTCTGAAAAACATGACAAAAGACCACTGGTGCAGCCTTGGTGACATACCACACCTGAAATATATATAAATGTTCAACAAGATTCTAAACTATGTGTCATTATTCTGCTGGTTTCACTTGATATTAGCTCTGTGTGACTGAGAGCTAGCAGGTAGCAGTTTCTAACAGACATGTAAGAGTGGACACCTCATTGACGGTTGGGACAGAAATAACGGGCGCCATCTTGGGGTGGTCGACCTTCTACCCTAACCTGCTGGTGTGTGTGTATATATATATATATATATATATATATATATATATATATATATATATATATATATATATATATATATATATGTGTGTATATGTATATATACATATAGTATCTATTCAGTATATATATACTACTCAAAAAAATTAAAGGAACGCTTTGTAATCAGAGTATAGCATCAAGTTAATTAAACTTCTGGGATATTGATTTGGTTAGGTATGTAGCAGAGGGACAGCTGGACAGGGCAGTAGAAGGTCTATAACCCATCAGCAGGACCGGTATCTGCTCCTTTGTGCAAGGAGGAGCAGGAGAAGCACTGCCAGAGCCCTAGAAAATGACCTCCAGCAGGCCACTGGTGTGAATGTCTCTGACAAACAATCAGAAACAGACTTCACAAGGGTGGCCTGAGGGCCTGACATCCTCTAGTGGGCCCTGTGCTTACTGCCTGGCACCGTGGAGCTCGACTGGCATTTGCCACAGAACACCTGAATTGGCAAGTCCGCCATTGGCGCCGTGTGCTTTTCACAGATGAGAGCAGGTTCACCTTGAGCACATGTGACATACGTTAAAGGGTCTGGGAAGCTGTGGAGAACGTTATGCTGCCTGTAACATATTTCAGCATGACCGGTTTGGTGGTGAGTCAGTGATGGTCTGGGGAGGCATATCCATGGAGTGACGCACAGACCTTTACAGGCTAGACAAGGGCACCCCGACCGTCATTTGGTATCGGGATGAAATCCTTGCACCCATTGTCAGACCCTTTGCTGGTGCAGTGGGTCCTGGGTTCCTGCTGGTGCACGACAATTTCCCGACCTCATGTGGCGAGAGTATGCTGGCAGTTCCTGGAGGATGAAGGAATTGATACCATTGATTGGCCCCCACGCTCGCCTGACCTAAATCCATGTCACCTCTGGGACTTTATGTTTCGATCCACTTGACGCCGCCAGGTTGCACCTCAGACTATCCAGGAGCTCAGTGATGCCCTGGTCCAGATCTGGGAGGAGATACCCCACAACGCCATCCGTGGTCTCATTAGAAGCATGCCCTGATGTTGTCAGGCATGCATACACGCATGTGGGGGCCGTACAAATTACTGAACTCCATTTTGAGTTGCAAAATGGACTAGCCTGCTGCATAATTTTTTCACTGTAATTTTTGGGGTGTCTTTGAATTGAGCCCTCTGTAGGTTAATAATTTTCATTTCCATCAAAAGATGTGGCATCCTTTTGTTCCTAAAATATCACCAAGTCCACATCAGTAGAAATAAACAGCATGATTTTTAGCCCCATTGAGATCTGATGTGTTTTCAAAGTGTTCCTTTAATTTTTTTTAGCAGTGTACATACTATGAGAATATTCCATTACGCTTAACCCCACTAAGAATATTTAAATGCACTAAATGATTTAAAAAAAATTCTTGTAAAACATTTATTTTTTATATAAGTGTATGTCAATGGTTGCTAGCACATATCGACTGTGTCTGAGGGTATTTTTATTTATGTTTGATTTTTTTTTTTTTTTAACAAACTATAAATGTTTAACCAGCAGTTATTTCCTGACTTTTATGTTTGTATTAAGTTGGTTGCGAAGTTGTCTTTGACTAGGCTAAGGCTAAGTTCACAAATAGATACAAAATAGAGTTTGTGAATGTAACCAAAAATGGAAATAAAATGCTTTGTAATGTTACATACAGACTGCCGCCATTTTGGATTTTTAGGTTACTTGGAAGTTTCTGGACTTCCATTTTTAAAAGTCAGCCTTTTTATCTTGTGACTTGTCAAATAACAGTTTGCTGTTAAAGCTATGCCAAGTCAGGACAACAGATTTTTCCTTCATATATATAGCTGTTTTCCAAACTAAAACAATATGTCAAGAAAATTGTGTGTTTTGTACGGAAGCTGAGAGCAGTCATAGTCAACTTTTTTTTACCTATGTATTCACGAGATACCGACATAACTATCTCATTATCACATTTAAAAGGTTGTTTTCTCGAGATAACAAGATAATTATCTCGTTATCACAAGAAAACAGTTATTGATTTCTCGAGATAACAAGATAATTAACCTGTATGAGTAATGAATGAGGCAGGCCAGCAGCCCTGGATTCCCAGTCCATCCATGCCTGCGAGGCCCGTAGTTGTGCAGTTGTGGTACAGCGTGTGCGCAAATAATACATTTTTTAGTTTCCTATTTCTTTTCACTCATTCTCAGGTCATGGTGGATGATTGGATTGCATAGAATAGAGTAGAAAAACATCTGTCTTTCAATGAAAATCTTTAATCTGGACTCATTTTGAGGGTTAATGCATCTTATACCTGTTAACACCAGGGCTGTTCAGAAAACATCCGGCGCAAAGGCGCTGGAGGCATAGGTCTTATTGCTTATAAATCAGAAGTAAAAGCAAATCATCAAACCAACAACTTCATCTTGTTACCTAAAAGTTAAACACAAGATTATTTTCATAATTGCACATTGGCTGCCATGGCTTAACTTATAAATCCTCTCCCGCTGTTGTGGTATTGAAGGATGTAATCAGTTTTAACACACACCAATCATCTCGTTATCACGAGACAATGGTTTTGTTACAATTAGGTAATGAGAAAATTAACTTGTTTTCTTGAGGAAACCTCAGTGAAAAAGTATCCGAGGGAAACGACCGCCCTCGGCTTCCGTAGTTTATCTTCGCCTGTGGTGCATCAAAAATGTTCACATCTAGGTCGCATTAACAGTATGATTCCTCTCTGCACTGCCAGAGTAGCCAGTTAAACCTCTGAGCTTGTTTTCACCCACAGGCGGAAAGTAAAAGGTCAGTTTAAGGTGACTCAGTATTTAGCCCGAGCCTCATTAAATCAGGTGCTAATTACACAAAGAATGTAACTCAGAAACTGAGAGGCGGCCAGAGTATTTTCTGTTTCCTCCATATAAATCTGCTTCTCCCAGCTTGAACTCTGCCTGTTTTTTCTCTCAGATCTCTGAATGGAGCAGCAGAACTCACAGAGTTTCCAGATCTGACAGGAACCAAGAGTCTGGAGAGCCTGTAAGACGCACACACACACCCTCACAGGAATGTTTCCTTTCTATTTGCTGTTGTAGCTCACATCACTGTGGGGTTTCAGAACTAAACACCAAATCAAACTGTTTTTATTAACACTGCAGTTATTATCCTATCTAGCAGGCTGTAGCTTTATTTTTCTGCAGCCCTGGCCTGAAATTAAAATACATTTTTTTCCCTTCCTGTAGTGGGCCAAATTTCCATGTCATAATAAACATTTTACACAGTTTATTTTCATGTAATGTTCCATCCAAACTCCTTTCTGAAGGTGGTGTGTTCAACTGTAACCAGTAGGTGGAAAAACATATTGCAACCAAACAAACCATCCCACATTTTTCTATTGTCCAGCTTTAAAATGAGCATTTTCTGTGGTTCCAAAAGCTTTATCCTCTTACAGATTTCTTCTGTTTTGTTGTCACACTTAAAATGTTTCAGATGTTTAATCTGTTTAAATTCAATGTTTTAGTTAATCAACTAAAACATTTTTTGAAAAGGATGATTTCTTTTGAGGAAAGAAGCTGTAAAACCAACCTTGACTTTTGGGGAGATTAAATGTTCCCTTCCTTTTTTAAATTATGGATTGACTTTGATTAAGCTATATTTTTTAGAAAGCTTAGCTCAGTTTAACTAATTCAAGCCCAGGTCTGATTACTACCTCACAGCAGACATAACGAATCAAATAGAATCTCTGTGATGTCTGAAAGCTCTCAAGAAGCAACAATCACCTTAAAACAACCAAAATCTCTAAGACTTTAGGTCTGCAATGAACCAAAGATGGATCCAGGACCCAAATTAGTGTGTTGCTGAGAGTAGTTTTCTTTTTCTCTTAATAATATGACAAAAAGATGGAGAAGCCTTTGGATGCCTAATAAACCAAATGTAAAACACGTCTTTGCTCTTTTTCCTTATTAAGCTGAATTAGCTTGATATTAAAGTCGTAGGGAAATCGTATTTTCAATGTCAAATCATTTTGGCTTAAACATCTATATAAATGTACTCTTTATCAGACAATATTGTCCCAAGATTTAGAAAATAAATCCTGTCTTAAAATGTGTGTTCTTTTTCTCGTTATCTTATGCAGGCCAGTTAGTTGTACACCTAAATTCGGCCAATCATATATCACCAAACCAAACTTCTGGCGTCCTCTTCCACGACAACTTTGTCCCCGCTTTCCTCCTCTAAATAAAAAATGTCTGACAGCGGAGACTCACCCACGACCTCCGACACAAATCTCTCCTCCCCTTGCATGTTTCCTCTGTCCATAGCGTTCCTTGACAGTGTCGTTTCTAAGTCACCAATTTAGTGCTACTTGGTCCCAATGGAATTTCCCATTGGGAACCTACTAGCACTAAGTTGCTAACTGGTTAGCAAGATGCTTCCGACAAACCGGACACAATCAAACTTGCTTGCAAACCTTCCGTCACAACAATCCTGCCCCCTTGATAATCAACCAATCACATTCACTTTATTCACTCGTGTAAAGTCGTGCATCACTCGGGAGAATTTGGAAATGCAAAGTTGGAACGGCCATTTCCCTACGACTTTAACACTGTGTGACTGAGAGATAGCACGTAACAGATGCTAGTACATATCAGCTAGTAATCTAAGGTTAAATTTATTTATATTTGATCTGTTGTGGGTTTATTTAATAAACTAAGATAATTTAACCAGCAGTTAGTTTTAGGCTTTTACGTTTAAACTTAGTTAGATTGCTTTTGGTTTGTTTTGGAGGCCCAAAATTGGGTGTTCAACCCAAGCAGTAAAATAAGCTAATGATTTTGTTGCTAGCTGCAGTCATCAGTAGGATGAAAGCAAGAGGATAAAAATATACCCCGAACACATCGTGTTTTAAAACAATCCCAAAGAAACATTTATACCATTAAATTCTAGTGTTGCGCCGTTGCCATCTTTTGGCCCCGATACCGATAAGCGATACCTTGCTGTGCAGGTATCGCGTATCAGATACCATCTGTTTGAAATTGATATGTGTTTATATGAAGAACTGCATACTACTTGGATGTAAAATAATTGCAATCAGGGCTTTGTCAAGCTGCTGCCTACCTTTTTGAAGCAGTTACTGATACCACCATTTTAGTTCTGGATTAGGGCCCCACCTGATACTGGTATTGGTATCGGTGCAACTTTATTAAATTCCCATGTATTTATTATGATATATATATTTTTTTAAATATGTCATTTTTTTGCATTCAAAGCATATCAAATTTTGCCTTCTTCAGCTTCTTCATCTGCAATGCTGCTCGATAACATTTAAATATGGTTTTATAATATTATGAAAAAACACAATAAAACTGTTATTTATGCTTTTTAAGTATTTATAAGACCAGTATTGGACCAGCACTTTTAAAAATCCATGATGTCCAATTTGATAGATGGATCAAAATCACCGTAGCTTTAATTAGGCAGACGTCTCACTTGTAAAGGAAATTTGTAATCCCAACGAGACATACCTTGTTAAATAAAGGTTACATACACATATAGATTAAGTAGGACTAGATGAGGGTAAAAAGGGTATATAAACAGATGTTACAGGTTTCCTTTTGTCTGCCTATCTGTGCTGTAGGACCATCACTGGAGCTCAGATCACTTCTCTACCCGGCTTCATGTGTGAGGAGCTTCCAAACCTCCAGCTGCTGTAAGCCTCTCACCATCAAGCAGAAATGTTTCCACTTTCATGTGCTGCACACTGATCCGCTTAGGGTGTGTCGGACATCCTTGACAGCTGCTGACAGCAAAAACTGTCTTTGTGTCTGCAGCGACCTCTCGTATAACAAGATCCAGACTCTTCCAAGCTTCTCTGGCTGTGAGAGCCTCCAGAAGATGTGAGGTTTATCTTCATTTTATCTAATTAAAGCTTATCTTTCTCTTTCTGGGGTTTCTGGGTTCTTTTGTCAGCCTCTGAAGCCTGTTAAGCGCATTTATCAAGTTGTTGGTTACCATAGCAACCGGTAAAATGCATCCAGCTGTGCATCATGGGAATAATTAGCAGCGCCGTTGTCTGTTTAAGGCAAATCAGAAGGAATGAAAATGCTTTGGTGGAGGAGATAAAGGTGGAGCCATGGAAAAACTGTTCGCTGATCACTGTGTGTTTGTGTTTCAGTGATCTTCACCATAACGAGATAGAGGAGCTGAGGGAGAACACCTTCACCGGGCTGATGAGCCTTCGCTCACTGTAAGGACACACGCTTTGAAGGTTTAATTAGTCCTTGGATCCTGACCCATGATCCAACTGTAATCTACTTTAAGTGCTTCCAAATGGAAGTGCCGATCTCCTATCAAGGTGGTCCGCTGGTTGGTGGAGCAGCTGCCACGACACGAAGTCAACAAGGGAGTTACCCTGCTGCTCCTGGTAGCAGTTAGCAAAGAGCTAATCATCCAAATAACACCAACAAATACTGAAAATATTTCACTTTTACAACACGCATCTAGAATACAGGGAGCGCTACATTTCAGGACACTCAGGTCTCAGGAAATAATTCAGCGCTCAGGTTTCAGGGAAGAAGGCATGGGGTTTTAGGAAAAAGGTTTCAGTTCATTTAGTATTAAACTTATCTGGTCTCAAGACACCACAGAGTTTTAGTGAAACTTTGACCAAACGATCAGATGTTTGGGTTTAACTAAAACACATTGTCACCTAAAAAAAAAGGAAAGAATAAATAATAACTGAACTTTATTGATCTCACATTGGAGACATAAAAAAAAAACATTGTACTTTGTAGCACTCTTAACCTAAATGTAAGAAAGAAACCACATTCTCTAGGTTCAAAAAGTTGGACTCTGAGTGGAAGTTGAACAATGATTATTTATTGCACCATCAGGTATTATAACTTCTTTTTATACAAAGAATTAGGGGGGGGGGGGGGGGGGGAACAACAAAATAGAGCTCTTTGATAACAAAACAAAAATAGAAAAAAAAGTTCAAATAAAAGTGTCCTTTTCTTCTGTGTCAGGAGAAAAAGCTTAGATCCTTGTGGTGTGTGTGTGTGTCTGTTTATATATTCTTCTACTACCCGGGTAGTTTTTTTTAATTGTTTCTATTGAGCGCGCTTATCTGTATCAGAGAAGTTGGTAGATTTCTGTAGTCCTCGTGGAGTGGATCCCGTTCTCCGCTTCCTGTCGCTTGACTCGCCACTGAACCACAGAAGGTTCAGAATTCATGCAGATCGACTCCTGATCCAGCAGAAAAATAAAACCAATCTACACACGGGGTGTAGAAAGATACTTCCATTAATACTATGTTCATCTACTACTTTTACTCTGATTCTCTGCATTATCACAGCCAATTAATTGTAAATATTGGTCTACAACATAAGTAGTGTTATGTTAACACAATTAAACATTAAGAACTTTTATTCTTAACATAAATGAACTTCTTCCTCTTTTTTAAAGCAGTATTTATATCAATACCCAGCCTTTAAATCAATATTTATTTTTTTACTAAATCTTTATGAGTTTGAACAACCACAATGAAATAGATAGCATTATGTACACAAAACAGTACATTAGAACAATTTCTTACATCTCACTATCACATTTATCTCTCTCTTTGTCTAATGACATAGTAGCAGAGAAGGCTACCTGTGCTAGCATAGCAGCTACCCGCGATTAGCGTTAGCACGCTAATTAGCTATCTCTTTAGTTATTATTTCACCTAACAAAATGATACACAGTACAATGGTGGGTCACACATTGGATAAAAAAACTCCGACTGGTTTTATGGAACTGTCTCAGCAACAACATCTTCACATGTCCTAACTCCAACAAGCTAATAACCGAAGCCTAGCATCCTACCACTTAGCCTAACTCTTACCGGAGTTCAGAGGGCTTAGAGGTGGTTGAAGTAGTTCCTCTCTCTTCCTCAAGGCTCATAAAATCTTCTTGATCCGGTTTATTAGCTCAACAGATGATTTTTTTCTCAGTTTGTGTATCGGCAGTGAGTGTAGCTTGGTCCATCAGTGTGATTTCACATGCTCAGTGGCAGGAACCTAATCCAATGCGCCACCATGTGGCGAAGATCATAACTACCGTTGTGTTCTCAAATAACATACGTGGGTCTAGTAACCATGTGGGTTACACCCTCCCCTCTTGAATCAACATGAGTCCCTTCATGAGCTGATCTCTGATTCATATGGGGGTTGTCGCAGCTATTTAGAGTGTCCAGTGCTTGATTAAAGCTCTCTAAAATACTCTGTGCAAAGGACATTAAAGGTTTCCCTAACTGAATGTAGTGGAACCGTTCAGGGGGTTTTCGGGACCTTTCTGACCTCCTTGTGGGGTCAGGTGTGTTTCTTCCTGTTTCACTTTCAGTTTCTTTATCAGATGTTTCAGGGTGATTTGGCCCCGCTTCTTGTGGAACCTCTGCAGTCCCTGCATCTGCAGGGCTCTCTCCAATTCCATTCATTTTATGCAGTTCCTGTCCATTCATCACATTCTTTTCATTTGTCATATCCATTTTGTTTGTCATATCCATCTCATTTTCTTGTGTCTCATCCAGTTGTGCACAGCCCCCTCCAGCAGAGGACTGCTCAACCATGACCTCAGGCTCATCTCCTTCTACCAGCTCAGAAGGTGTTCCAACAGTTTTAGCAGTGGAATTGTTGTCTTCAGGATAATTCTGAGGCTGGGAGGTCGAGGGAACCGATGGCACAGCCAGCAACCCTCCATGCTCTAGGTTTGAATTGGGTTGCTGTCTCCTTGGAATTCCACACACCTGTGTGAATTGTTCTTCAGGAGAAACTGAGGACAGGCTTGGATAGATAACCAAGTCCTCCTCAGATTCCGAGAGTTCCTCCAGGATTTGTGGATGATTCTGCCTAGTTCTTGGCCTGCGGACCTGAGGTTTGACTGGTTCAGTCTCCTCGGCTTCAGATAGGTCACCACAAGAAAGCAGCAAGTCCCTATGTAGAGTCCGGATGGGACCATCACCCTCTACTGACTGTACTTTGTACACTGGTAAGTCTCCAACTTTTTCAAGAACGTTGTACATACCGGACTCCCACTTGTCTGCAAGCTTGTGTTTACTTCGGAACCTCAGGTTTTTCACTAACACTTGATCCCCTTTCTCTAGCGTTGACTCGCGTACTCCCTTGTCAAAATAGCCTTTGTTCCGATCAGCAACCTTTTTTGAGTTCCTGGTGGCAATCTGATAACTCTCCTCAAGGCGTGCTTTCAGATGTTTCACGTACTGAGAATGGGATTTGGGAGAGCCATCTTTCACCGGTAAGCAGAAGGCAATGTCTATTGGTAAACGAGGTTGACGTCCAAACATCAATTCATACGGGCTGAACCCCGTGACATCGTTCCTGGTGCAGTTATAGGCATGGGTGAGTGGTTTTACATAATCTCGCCAGTGGCTTTTCTCCTTGTCTTTTAAGGTTCCCAACATGCCTAGCAGGGTTCGATTGAACCTCTCTACAGGGTTTCCTCGTGGGTGATAGGGCGTGGTACGCACCTTTGTGATGCCTGCTACAGCACAGAGTTCTTTGATGAGCTGGGATTCAAAATCCCGGCCCTGATCACTCAGCAGACGCTCAGGGAACCCGTAGTGCACGAAGAACTGCTCCCAAAGGGTTTTGGCGACTGTTGTAGCCTTCTGGTCTTTTGTCGGTATAGCAACCGCATACTTGGTAAAATGATCTGTAATGACCAAGATGTCCTTGGTATTGTGGCTGTCCGGTTCTAGTGACAAGTAGTCAATGCACACCAACTCCATGGGGCGAGTTGTGTGGATATTCACAAGGGGTGCTGACCTTTCTGGCTTTGTCTTCCTTCGGACACAACGCCCACATGACTTGATCTTTTTTTCCACATCTGCAGCCAATTTAGGCCAGTAGAATCTTGTTCTAACCAAGTCAAGGGTTCTATCGAAACCCATATGTCCCATATCCTCATGTAAGGACTTGAGAATTGAAGCACGAAGAGACTTGGGAGCAACAAACTGGTAAGTAACATCATCTCCTGTTTGATGCGTTCTATACAAACGACAATTTCTCATCTCCAACCTTTTCCTTCCCTTGAGCATCAGCTTGAGCTCTAAGGACTCAGGAGAGAGGTTGGCCTCATCCCCTCCTTCCAAGACTTGGAGAACCTGTCCGATGATTGGGTCAGCCCTTTGATGTTGCTGGAGCTCTTCTGTACTGTAGGTGGGTATGGTAGAGCAACCTAACATGTTTTCATTTCCATAAGTGTCTGGAATCGCATCTGGATGGATGGCAAGGGATTCAACCAATGTGATGGAAGGTAGGTCATCAACTACCTGAGGTAAAAGACGGTGTTGACATAACACAGCAACTGCGTCTACAGGCAAGCTTTGTTGATCTGGAGATGAAGAAAGATGGTGAGAAGCAAACTTTTTGATTCGCTCCTTCTCTTCAAGGGATGCATGATCATCTGCTATATTGTCATGCGGCCGTCTAGAAAGACCATCGGCATCCTGGTTGCTCTTCCCAGCACGGTATTTTATGTCAAAGTTGAAGGTCGAAAGAGCTGCTAGCCAGCGATAACTGGCAGCATCTAGTTTGGCTGACTTTAGTATATAGGTCAAAGGATTGTTATCCGTTATGACAGTGAACGTATTACCATAAAGGTAATCATGAAACTTTTCAACAATCGACCATTTAAGAGCTAGAAATTCTAGCTTATGCGCGGGATAACGTTTTTCACTGGATGAAAGGCCTCTGCTCGCATAAGCAATGACTCGCATTTCACCATCCTGTTCTTGGTACAGGGCAGCCCCTAGACCTGAAGTGCTGGCATCAGTATGGAGCACATATTGTAGTTTTGGGTCAGCAAAACCAAGGACAGGTGCAGATGTGAGTTTTTCTATGATCAGGTCGAAAGCTTTTTGACATTCAGGAGTCCAGCGCTCATTAAAGGGCTCCTTGGGGTTGAAGTACGAACCAGGGCTAGATGTCTTTTGGCCCTTTCGGTAAGGTGGGTAGCCGCTGGTAAGATCATTCAGGGGTTTGACTATTTTAGAATAGTCTCTGACAAAGCGGCGGTAGTACCCTGCAAAGCCTAAAAAAGACTTGAGATCACCAAGTGTTTGGGGCCTAGGCCAGGTGCGGAGTGCACTGACCTTATCGGGGTCAGTCTCTACTCCTCTGCTAGAAACAATGTGGCCTAAATACCTTACAGAGCTCTGGAAGAATTGGCATTTTTTGGGAGAGAGTTTCAAGCCATTTTCTCTTAGTTGCTGGAGGACATGTTTAAGCCTAATTTCATGCTCTTCTAACGTGTCAGAAAAGACGATGATGTCATCCAAAAACACCAGTACTTCCTTCAGATTGAGGCTCCCAATGACTCGTTCCATCAGTCGTTGGAAGGTACTGGGGGCATTTGTGATGCCTTGGGGCATGCGGTTGAATTCATAGAACCCCAAGGGACACACGAAAGCGGTCTTGTGCTTATCGCGTTCCTCCATCTCAATCTGGTAATATCCTGATTTTAAGTCCATTACTGAGAACCATTTGGATCCAGCAAGAACTGAAAAAACTTCCTCAGGATTTGGCAATGCGTATGCATCCTTGATTGTCAGTGAATTGAGTTTGCGGTAGTCGATGCAAAGACGGACCTCCCCATTCTTTTTACGGACTACCACTATTGGGGAAGCGTAAGGGGACTCTGACTCGCGAATCACCCCTGCATCTAGCAGTGTTTGCAAATGTTTTCTGACAGCCTCATAGTCGTTTGGGTGGATTGGTCGGGGCCTTTCTTTAAATGGGGAGTCGTCTTTTAGATTTATATGGTGCTTTACTTTGGTTGCATGCCCAAAATCATTCTCATCACAGGCAAAAACATCACGATACTCATTCAAATTGCATGTTACTCTATCTCTCCACTCTTTTGAAAGGGGAGAGTCACCAAAGTCAATAATAAAGTCAGACTGGTCTGGTCTTTTGGCTGGTTTGGAAATGCCAGCACAACATTTCACAGGGTCAGTTGGTTTGTCTGAGTCAGGTAAGTTATCGTAGACCTGTTCGGGAGTATGAAGTTCAGCAATGACACAATTTGAGGGGAGTGTGACATTGTGATCATTCTCATTTCTGACCCACACGGGTAGTCTGTGGGGACAGTGTCTGGGCAGAGTGATAAGGCAGCATTCTACAAACACTCCACCAGGTAAGGCAGAAGACTGAGGCTGCTCAACTATGGCACAGGCACCTGGGATGTTGGCATTCACATATCCTTCTACACAGACTCTTGTTTTAGCAGGTAAGATTTGGTGCACTTTATCTTTTAGAGTAGCTAACCCTATTCTTCCCGTAGAGTTAACTTTGTTTCTGAGCCTGAGTACACGAATAATCTGCCTGTAACCATATACAGAGGACAAGTCATTCAAGTCTTTATCAATACAATGTTCTTCATACAAGGTATCTAGAGCATTTGTGCCATTGAGTACAGGTAAGTCACAGTTACTATGGCGGTCTGGTACTACTAGGGCTAGGGTTGTGATTTCAGGCTCAGCTTCAACAAATTCTCTGGGGAACTTGGGTGTGATAGGTACATAGCCTAAATAAGGCACCTTTTGGCCGTTAGCCCCTTCAACATCCAGGCCCTGGAAGGGCTGGATGGGGTGTTCTGACAAGTGGGTTCTTGAAAAAGACGCAGTTACTGTGGTAACCTGGGACCCTGAGTCAAGGAGACAACTTGTGTTAACTCCTGACACACTGACATCGGCAACACATTTCTGGCCCACAAGACCTCGGGGGAGCTTAATTTGGGGTTCTACTTTGTGTGATTGAATAATTGTTTTTGTTGTATGCTTTGGGTTGGGACTGTCATTCTCAATTCCAGCTCCTGGTCGTCCCGCAGCAGGAACTGCGTTTAGTTTAAACTCCGCTCCCAGGATTCTTGTTTTTGCTTTAGCTCTTTGCGTTTCTTTTCAACTAATTCGGGATTTGGCTCATTGTTGCAGGAAGGCGCAATGTGGCCGTCCTCACCACACCTGAAACAGTACCATGGGCGAGGCTTCTTGTTGACCAGCTTCGGTTCTGAAGAAAGCGAAGGATTTCCTTCGGAAGGGACTTTGGGCTTAGCCTTTTGTTTCTTACCTGGCTTTGCAACCAATTGGTTTGAACTTAGAGACGCTTTAAGAGAAGCTATTTGGGCTTGTAGTTTTGCCATTTGTATTCCAAGTTTCCGTGGGTCAGATGGGGCAGCCTTTATTTCATCATCATCATCAGTGGTGTGGTCTTCCACTGAGACTGTGTTTGACTGGACTTTTATTCTGTTTGCTCCAAGATGCTGCTTCATCCTGCTGGACTTAGCAGCTTGTCTGTCCTCCTCAGAACGTACCGAAAGCAGTAACTCTGAAAAGGGGGGAGGATTATTCTTCCTCTGTTCAAGCTGAAGGCTGGTAAGTAGACTGTTATTCCAGCAGCCTCTACAGAACTGCTTAAGCAGCTGGCGGTCTGAATCACCAGCAGCTAACCCATTTCTTTTGATAACCTTACTCAGGATTGTCTGCAAGCGCTGCAAATAGCCAGACGGCTTTTCTCCAGGGTCTTGATTCGTGTTCAAAAACTTTGCAAAAAGCTCATCACCATCATCAATGATGCCATAAGCAGAGTCCAGAAGGGCAAGATATTCATGGGGGGAAGCATTGGGCCCGAGATGTTTCACAATGGTGGCCGCAGGTGGAAAGAGACTCTCAACTATTTTCCTGGTTACATGTGTGGCAGACATAGCAGGGTCTGCAAGGAAAAACTCAACATTGTTGCGCCACATGTCATAATCAGACTCTGAACTGGGACAGGGAATTCTTCCTGAAAAGGGTCTGAGTCGAGTGCTACCATGATAGTGCAAAGGAAGATCACTGTTCTTAATGACATGCTCAACCACTACTCTTTGTATTTCTGGGGTTGAGAGATGCTCGGGAGATAAGTTCTGAGTCCGGTTACTACATGGGGATGCTTCAACTTCCTTGCGTGGGGGTGCATCAGGCTCAGGGGAAAGCGTCAGGTTGTCACCTACATTCAGGGGAGTTCTGTCAGCTATGTCCACAGCACTAACATGCTGATGTTCATGTCTAACCGCTGATGCATCTGGTTCAGCTTTCCTAGTTCTAATGGATGCTTGAATCCTAGCTAGTTCATCTAGCAAAACCTTCTCAAAATCTGCTCCACTCAACTGAGCAACATCCCTTAGTTCAGTTAAGTAAGTTTGAGTTAAGGTAGAACCTCTGTCTGCTGTGTAGAGCTCGGACAAGAGCTGAATGTGGTGGACAACATCCGGGTTACTGGAGGGCCTATCAACAGGTAAGGTATCTTTAAGATACTCTATAGTTAGCCCTGAGCTGTATTCCACTATAGCTGTGTTTTGGAACCTAGCCTGACTGCTCGTAACATTAATTACTCTTTCAATCTTACCATACTGTCCCAAATAGTCAAATACTTCATTGTCTACATCACTACCAGTTACACCACTTACTAGCAATGAGTTAGGCACTTTAACATTTTCAGATGCAACTGTATCCATGTTTGTATTTGTACCACAATGGAAATATATGAAAGTTAAATTATATTAATGTTCACAGAAAAATGCAAAAATGTCACACTGCTCAACTTCCTGTTCAAAGGATTTAACCAACTCTCCTGGCTGGCTCGCCAAGTTTAATGTAGCACTCTTAACCTAAATGTAAGAAAGAAACCACATTCTCTTGGTTCAAAAAGTTGGACTCTGAGTGGAAGTTGAACAATGATTATTTATTGCACCAAACAGGTATTATAACTTCTTTTTATACAAAGAATTGGGGGGGGGGGGGAACAACAAAATAGAGCTCTTTGATAACAAAACAAAAATAGAAAAAAAAGTTCAAATAAAAGTGTCCTTTTCTTCTGTGTCAGGAGAAAAAGCTTAGATCCTTGTGGTGTGTGTGTGTGTCTGTTTATATATTCTTCTACTACCCGGGTAGTTTTTTTTAATTGTTTCTATTGAGCGCGCTTATCTGTATCAGAGAAGTTGGTAGATTTCTGTAGTCCTCGTGGAGTGGATCCCGTTCTCCGCTTCCTGTCGCTTGGCTCGCCACTGAACCACAGAAGGTTCAGAATTCATGCAGATCGACTCCTGATCCAGCAGAAAAATAAAACCAATCTACACACGGGGTGTAGAAAGATACTTCCATTAATACTATGTTCATCTACTACTTTTACTCTGATTCTCTGCATTATCACAGCCAATTAATTGTAAATATTGGTCTACAACATAAGTAGTGTTATGTTAACACAATTAAACATTAAGAACTTTTATTCTTAACATAAATGAACTTCTTCCTCTTTTTTAAAGCAGTATTTATATCAATACCCAGCCTTTAAATCAATATTTATTTTTTTACTAAATCTTTATGAGTTTGAACAACCACAATGAAATAGATAGCATTATGTACACAAAACAGTACATTAGAACAATTTCTTACATCTCACTATCACATTTATCTCTCTCTTTGTCTAATGACATAGTAGCAGAGAAGGCTACCTGTGCTAGCATAGCAGCTACCCGCGATTAGCGTTAGCACGCTAATTAGCTATCTCTTTAGTTATTATTTCACCTAACAAAATGATACACAGTACAATGGTGGGTCACACATTGGATAAAAAAACTCCGACTGGTTTTATGGAACTGTCTCAGCAACAACATCTTCACATGTCCTAACTCCAACAAGCTAATAACCGAAGCCTAGCATCCTACCACTTAGCCTAACTCTTACCGGAGTTCAGAGGGCTTAGAGGTGGTTGAAGTAGTTCCTCTCTCTTCCTCAAGGCTCATAAAATCTTCTTGATCCGGTTTATTAGCTCAACAGATGATTTTTTTCTCAGTTTGTGTATCGGCAGTGAGTGTAGCTTGGTCCATCAGTGTGATTTCACATGCTCAGTGGCAGGAACCTAATCCAATGCGCCACCATGTGGCGAAGATCATAACTACCGTTGTGTTCTCAAATAACATACGTGGGTCTAGTAACCATGTGGGTTACAACTTTTTTTCCACCAGTTCATAAACCTTAATTCAGTTATTGCCGAGTTATACTAATGTGGGATTCCTTTTTCTGCTTTTAGGGATTTATCCTGGAATCGTTTATCATCCGTGGAGCCAAACTCGTTCTTTGCTCTGACTGCTCTCTCCAAACTGTGAGTTTTCTGTTCAGTGTTTGTTTTCTGCATTGCTTTAAGGTCCTGGTCCTGTTGATGGGATTATTTTGGGTGTGAATAACTGGAGTGATTTGTGTTCCTGCAGGGACCTTTCGTCCAATCAGCTGTCTTCTCTCCCTCTTACTGGTCTGCAGAGTTTAACTCGCATTCGGCTGGTGGGAAACGATCAGCTGATGGAGTTAATACCCCGAGAAGATCTGCCACGAGTCAGGTGACGATTTACACCAAAAAGTATTTATTTGGTATTTGTCAGGTTGGGGGGAGGTTTGAGAGCAGGACCCAAATGCAGAGACTGAAGCTGAAGGTGGTACTTTAAAAAGGTCACAGCCGAAGCAAAAATTCAAAAACACAAATCCACAAAATACTGAGAACCATGAATACTCAAAACAAGGGCAAAGAAATGAAAAGAATAGGAAAATGTTCTAATTTTTTTTCTTTTTTTTATCGTAAAGTGAACACTCATGAGAATCCAGAGTGAAATAAAGGTTCCAACCACCGGGAGCATGAACAAATAAAAGCAAATGTAATGATAGAAACCTTAGTCAGTTAAATAATATGCATTTTGCACATTTCTGATGTTGCTGCTGTTTTAAAATATCCATTACTGTAAAAATGTCCATAGCTGCATATTGGTTATTTAATCTCCAGATGCACATTTTTATGTTGTTAACTTTACATTAATTTATTGTTTATATTTTAACTCTTCACTAGTATATTATTCTTATATATTTTTCTAAGGTCCACATTTGTGGGACCACTTTTTTCTATAATATTTTTTTTTTCTGTAACCACCAGAATTTCCCAGTTGTGGGACAATAAAGAGATTTTGTATTCTATTCCATAAAAGGGGTAGAAGGATATAAGTAAATCTAAACAATGTATGTATAAAAAATATATCTGCAAAATGTCTTATATTCAACAACAAAAAATACTTAGTTTAAGCTAATTGTGCAAAACAGAAATTAAAAAATTTAAATCCTATCAGATTTATAGTCCCCACACTGCAGATATATTAGAATCTGTCTTTAAATTACAGCCAAACTCATTTACACAGTAACAGATAAAAACCTTTAGATAAATCAAACATTACCGCCACATATCTGCACCATTAAAACAACTATTTTCCTTCATTTCAGACGGAACGTTTCACAGAACTATTCATACTTGTATCATATTAAACGGAACTTCCAATATTCACCACTATTTGGTGCCAAGTACCTTTTTCCTCTGATCACAGAGCAGTCGGCTTGCTTGGTCTCACAATGAATCCTGGGAAAACCAAGGATGGAGAGGATATATCGGACCCGTCCTTGAAATCAGGCAAAAAGAAGGGCGCATTTGTAGGCGGCATAACGAGGGGTTTTTGAATCCGACCAGACCACAGCACACGCTATGACTTAATCGGCCTACGAATCTGGCCTTTGGAGGACGCAGCCCATGCATTTGAACGCAGCCCATGACTAAGCAGGAGGTGTATACATGAGAGACAGAAACAAAGACCAGGCTCATCAGCAGATTGGAAGCAGGTGTGGAGAGAGCAGTCTAGAAGGGAGCTAAGGAAAAGGAGATTGACACACAAGGGCAACCGAAGGCAAACAAGAAATGCCTAAGAACCCAAATACAATCAAAAATAACTAGAATAACACAAAATGGATATAAAACTAAAGAAAACACAAAGACAAAACTTAAACAGAACCAAGACCATGATGGTTTCTGATTCGCTGATCTTTGTTTATTACTCTGTGCAAATATAACAGGATGTTCCTGGGTGTAAATTAGCCTTTTTATTGTTTATGCTGTAAAACTTCTATCAATAAATGCTAAGAGTTGCAAGTGTCTCCTCAGGGTGATGGAGCTTCCTTATGCTTTCCAATGCTGTGCCTTCATCTCCTGTGAGAAGAAAGGAGGAGAAGAAGGAGGTGTATCCTGGGAGAGGGAGGAAGCAGCAGACTCAACTGCAATAGATCCTCCTTTCCCTTCCAGCCAAGGTGAACCTCCACATCAGAGACGTTTGCACATTTAAAAAGCCCCAAAGTTCCTGCTGTGTTCCTGCAATCCTTGTTTCAGTAATGATTGTTGTGTATGTATGTATGTTTGTAGGTATATACACTTAAAGTGCTATTATCTAATTAAAAATAAATCCTGAACTGAAGACCAAATACAAATAACGTTATTAGAACTCACCAAAAAAGTAATTCAGAATTTAATTCTTGTTGTAAGGACATTATGTAAAAATAAATAGTTTAAATAGTTTACTTCTAAGCACATTCAAATGTATTTATCAAAACACGGAGATACTGAATAAAAGTGTCCCGAGGACGCAGCTTTGATGGGCCTCACCTCCTCTTTCTTTGTTACAGATTTAAAACTTATATATTTAAAAATTAGGTATTTTAATCAAATTGAGCAGCACAAAAACACATGTTGACGGTGATTTTATGGAATTTTTCTTTCTTTTTGTGAAGTTAGTTTTTACTTCATAAGACCTGAGAGCTTTTGGAGTGGAGCTCTGAGAGCCAAGTCTGTTTTTGAATATCTTATATCTATATATTTTTTTTATTTAGAACATGCTTTATTGCCAAGTTCTGTTTTAGGTATTTGTTTTTGAACATTTATACTCAGTTGTGCAAATATTGGTGATTTATGTTTGTTCAAAACATATAACTGTACGAATTTAAAATGGCTTTTTTTGTTCTGGAGTTCTGAATGTGTTCCTTCGAGGAATGAATGGAAATGCTTTGAGTTCAGACGTTGATCTACGGCTTTATGTCCACAGTGGACCAGGACTGGGACGATTTTCTCATGCAGTTTGAAGACGAGCCCAAACCTCAACACTCTGTTCACTGCAGCCCAACTCCAGGTAACAAGAAGTTACATCAAATTTCTCATGACCCTCATCCTGCAGCGGATTGTTTTACCTTTTTAAAGTATTTCTATATGAAGACTTTTCAGTTTGTTGTACAATCTCAAACTATTGAGAACATAGTCATCTTTTGACTAGATGAGGAGGTTTTGGTGGAGGTTGCCAGTTTGTCTGTTTTTAAAGTGACGGTTTGACTTTCTCTCAGGACCGTTTCGTCCCTGCCTCCGTCTGCTTGGCAGCTGGATGATCAGAGGCGGAGTCTGGCTCATCGCTGGAATCTCATTGGTCAGCAATGGTCTTGTGGTCCTCTCCGTCTTCTTTTCTCCAGCAAGCAGGGTCACACCCCCCAAGCTCCTGATTGGCCTGCTGGCTCTGGTGAACGGGCTGATGGGCGTGTGGGGCGGCTGGCTGGCGGCGGTGGACGCCTGGACGTTCGGCAGCTTCTGGAGGTTTGAAATGAACTCTGAGTGGAATGAAAACCACCTGATCTGTTTGCCTGTTCGGTCTTTAAATCCTCATCTGTGGCAGGTACGGGGTGGAGTGGGAGAGCAGCTCCCTGTGTCGCCTCAGCGGCTTCCTGTGTGTGTTTGCATCCCAGACCGGCCTCTTCCTGCTGACGCTGGCGGCCCTGGAGCGATGCTTGTCTGCCGCAGGTGCAACTCAGAGCAACAGAACCGAAAGCAACAATGGTGAGAGAAAACAAAATCATCCCAAACCAAGGCACATGTCACTTTAAATCAGAGGTTCCAGACCCAACCTGATTTAAAACATTTAGAAATGACCGCATGTTGTCTGACGACAGTGTCTAACTGAGTATCTTCAGCAGCACAATCAGGAAATTGTCTCTTTACCAAACTGAACGGCTCTTGTTCTCTACTTCAAAAAACACTTTAGATTTTAAAAAGGAAAAATGCATTTCCTTTTTTTAATATATTTTTATTTACAGATTTAATGTATAACATGGATGCATAAAAACCTCATTTTATTTCAGTGTTAAATTCAGTTTAAGGTAACAGATTATAATTGAAAATGTCTCTAGACATTTACTGGTTGTTGATATTCTTTATTCGGACCCCGATGATTTTAAATTGGTTACCCTTGCTTTAAGGTATTCATATCACTGTTCACACTCTGCCTCTCTGACACACAAGACGTGGGGAACAAGTTCCTGTTCTAGTTAGCACAACAGTTCAAGCTCCGATTGGATGTGGAAGGTTTGTAAACATCAATGTGCCGCAGGACTTTTACTGGATTTAGGTCTGGACTTTGACTAGGCCATTCTCAACCCTTCAGTTGAGCCTGATTCTGCTGGAGGTTTCTTCCTGGTAAAATAGAGTTTTTCCTCTCCACTGTCGCCACAAGCATGCTTAGTGTGCAGGATTTCCTTCGAGTCAATGAGTCGACGCAATCAACTGGTTTTCCTTAGATAGAAAACTTTGAATCCATTTGGGTTTATGATCTGGTGAACTGTAAAGTGCCTTGAGATGACATGTGCTGTAAATTGGCGCTCTATAAATAAACTGAATCGAATTGAATTAAAATGCTTTGATCCAAACCATCATTGTATCTGTGGCTGGAAGGTGAACCTCCTCCCCTGTCCCAGCCACTCCTGAGCTGTGGATCTCTGCAGCTCCTCCATAGCGGCTGTGGGTTCTGAAAAATTTTTGCTCTTTATTTACAACATTTACATTTTCCACAATCATACAGGAAGCTGAACATCTCGGAAGGTTCTGCTCAGAACGCCTCATGTTGGAGGAAAAATCAGGAGAATTAAAGTATTGGATGTTTTATTTGTCCGAGCGAGAAATCTTTTTGTTTTAATTTCGCCTCTGTTTTCGCAGGTCACTCTATGTCGCCGCTCTTCATCCGTTTCTCCGTCTGTCTGTGCTTCCTGCTGGGCTTCATCATCACCCTGCCTCCGCTGGTGGTGGGTGAGAGTAGCTCCTCCTTCTGTCTGCCCCTCCCTTCGTCCTCCTCGTCCTCCTCCATGGCCTTTTCAGTCTCCTTGGTGCTCTTCGACTCCCTCTGTTTCCTCGTCATGACGCTGGCCTACACTCGCCTTTACTGCCGTGCCGGCAAAGCTCCGCCCTCCTCAGACGAAGAGGCGGCGTTGACTCGTCACGTCGCCTGGCTTCTCTTCTCCGACTGCCTCCTTTACCTCCCAGTCGCCTTCCTCTCCTTCTCCTCCCTCCTGCGGCTCCCCGCCGCCGGGCCAGAGGCGGCAAAAGGAGTCCTGCTGCTCGTGGCGCCGCTCCCGGCCTGCATAAACCCCCTCCTCTACCTCCTCTTCAACCCGCTCGCCAGAGGGGAGTTGGCAGCACTGGCGACACGCGCCTGCGTGGGTGCAGTGGCGTCTAAATTACAAAGAAGGGGAGCTTCTGGAGGACGACCGCTGGATTCAACATACGACGAGGACGCAGAGAAGCAGTCATGTGACTCTACGCAGGCGCTGGTGGTCGTTGAAGGTGTTAAAGAGGAAGAGGAGCAGCAGAGCAAAATGCAGCAGTTGCTGTCAGTCGGCCAACATTGTTAAATGGACACAAACTCCCACTTGTAGCATTTATTGGTCTCCCCTGACGAAAGCTGGAATACTCTGTCAGATTGGACCCGTGTGGGACGTCCAGGTGGAGGGTTAGCTCAGTCATTAAACACCACAGAGGGTTTATTCTATCAGAACATTGAAATTCTGTTTCACTATTAGGGTTTAAAGTGATTGGACCTATTTTTAACCTCATCTGTTCCCCTTTTCAGCCATTCTGATGTAGACTCTCAGTCTGTTTGGGGTCACGACTCTGCTTGGTCCATTGTTTGACATTTGACCCCAGAGAGGAGGTCCGCTCAGTGATCAGAGGTTCCTACCAGGTTCTGCATGGATAGATTTCTGGTCCATTAATGTTGCAAAGAACACATTTTGTAAATGGAAATGTGAGAAAAGTGCAATCAAGAAATGAAACTTCAAAACGTTTCAATCCAAAACAGGTTTGGAGAGGGAATTGGCTGTTTTCCCAGATTTGTTTTCTCTCTAAAATTAAATTTGTAAATTTTATATTTACTTAATGTTTACTTTTTTTTATTTTTACAGATTTTTTAATTTTATTTTTTAAACTCTACTTTTTCAGATGTATTTTTACGTTTTGCTTTCTTTTCAAATTGCATCACATTCTCTTCACTTCAAGCCCATTCCAGACGCTGGCTCTTGACCAATGAAAATGTTGATAACCTCCAGCAGACCAATAGAAATTAATCTTCTTTACTCACTCCAGAGGAAATCCCGCCCCTAGAAGTGAATAGAGTTTGATCAGGAAAACGTAATTTGAAAATAATGTAATTCATGAAACTCAACCTGAAAAAAATAAAAATGTTTTCTTTAAAAAAAGAAATTAAAATAATAAAGTAAATAAATAAAATTCACTGCTAGTCATCTGGCTGCAAAACAAGCCCAGATCATCAGTCTTCCTCCACCGTGCCTGAAAGAACATAATGCTTGTTTAAGCATGTGTTGGAGTTTAGCCGCAGTGGATGGAAAACTGAATTCTGCTCTCTGCTGTCCTCCATCAGAGTTGGACTTTAAGTCGACTAATTTAAATATCTTTAAATCTACATTAATATGAATTCAACACACTGTGGTAAACGAATAAATTGAGGCAGAAGATGTCTTTCAGTCATCAATGCACACATTTGGCGACACATTATATACAATTATATATATATATACAATCAGGGGCTACATTCGCACTGCAGGCCTTGATGCTCAATTCCGATTTTTTTTTTGTGAAATCCGATTTTTTTTGCATTGCCGTTCACATTTCCTAATATATGCCACTTGTATTTAATCTCCTGCGTGAACTGCAGTCACACGACACAAGTGTCCTGAATGCGCAGTAGAGGAAGCAATGACGTCACAGGCCAGCAAGCTCTGTGTTTACGGAAGTAAACATGGATGGTAGTGCCGGATCACATCTAGCGATCTTTCCTAACCATAAAAACACAATCTTTTCAAGACAGTTAAACAGAAATACTGCTCTCTGCGTCCACGTCTGCCATGGTTGTTGTTGTTTTTCTTACAACTTCTTCATAGCCAGATCCAGAATAGTGACCTATGTTTGGTATTAATGGCGTTCAGGCCTCATGAATGCGACCTGGCTGTTCAGACACAGGTCGCATTTGAAAGATCGGATTTGTATCGGATTCAGGACCACATTGCCAAGTAGCCTGGGTCACATTGGAAAAAATCGGACCTGTGTTGTTCAGAATGTCATGAAAAGATCAGATAGAGGTCGCATATGAGCAAAAGAATCTGATTTGGGTCGCTTCAGGCTGCAGTGTGAAGGAAGCCTGAAATTCTGATGATTTTAAAACATTTCAGTGTTGCAATAGTTTCCAGCCAGTTGGCTACTGGGACCAGTTTAAGATGGTTCAATGATTTTCATTCCACCCTCCCCAGCTTTTGTCAGGTGACATCAAACCTACAGGTCCAGCAAATGTAGCAGCAGCTAAAGAAGAGAAGCTCGCCATGAACTCACATTTCTAGTTTTCCTTTGTTTTTGTTTTCTTCCTGTCCAGTCTGAGACGCCGGCAGGAATCATGAAGGGTTTCGTTTTAAAAACACACTTTTACAGCAACGCGCCACCAAATGTTCACGCTAGCAGCTCGTGTTTCTGCAGGCGGGTGTGAAAACTGCAGCATGCGTGAGAGCTTCGTCACAGAGTCAAACCTCAGCCCGAAGGAGTGAGGTCATCAGGTCATCATTTCAGTCCACATAGTGACATCTAGTCTGGCCTCGTGTTCACGCCGCAGGAGGCTGCTGCATTTAAGAATCTGTTTTAGTGAGTAAACCGTGTTGTAAAAAGGCGCTACTGTGACAATCGATAAAGTGTGTAGACTGTGAGATATGTTTGTTTTATTTTGAGGATTTTATTGTCTGTATATTACAGCTGTTTTTTTTTAACTCTCGTCGTTTTTATGTGTCGTGTAAAGTGCTGATTGTGAACACTGTTTCTCCACAAACGTGACCTCAAATACTTTCTCATTTTCTCACCTCTCCTACATTTGGGGCAGAAACGTTTCTAACTTTATTTATTTATTTCTTTTTATTAAATTCCCACGTTATCTTTCTTTCTTTTTTTCTTTTAAAGAAATTTAACTTTGCTCTCTGTGATGTTTTACAGTAAATAAATTGACCCTAAGCTTTTAATTTGTTGTTTTTTTATATATATAAATCTGTTTCTTTTTGCTCTTCTAATAATTATTTATTGTTTTTAAATTCTTTTTTCATTTCTTGCTTCGTAATTAACCGTCGACTTGATATCATTTTTAACAAAGAAACCCAAACCAGTGCTTATGGTGAGAAACTTTAATTTAGGGTTAAAATGATAAACTTTTATTCTTTTTTATCTTTTCTTAAACAGAACATCGAATGTTTACAAAACAGGCAATTCTTACCTTATTCAGCAAACTAAGAGCAGGAAAAAAAAAAAAAATGTTTGTAGACAAATAACAGTAAAAAACAAACAAACAAAAAAAATAAATAAAGTTGACTCCTTAAATCTCGCTTTTTATGTTTTGAAAGTAGAGTATTTTATAAGGTTTGCTGAAATCTTAAAAGAATCATTCAGGAACCTGAGATGCAGACCTACATGCAGACTGTTGGCCCAAACCATGATACTACAGAACCAGGTTTCTCTGCTTAATTAGTTTCTTTCCCAATAAATTATCCAAGTTTGAATTTCAAACTTATGTTAAAGCAGAATTTGATTTAATACTTTAATTAAATCAATTAGTTGAAGTAATCTCATTGCAATGTCAAAACAGCATACGCTGTCAGATTGACATATGATTCGGTTGTTATCCAAACTAATGTAATATTGAGTCACAATATAAACCACAGCCAATTTTTTATATGATTTTAAACATGAAAAAAAAAAATTCTTCGCACACACGTTTTTTTTGTTTTTTTTTACTACTGAAGTAACTTATTTTAAATGAATATAGACTAATATAGTTCTAGCAATAAAGGCTTCTTCTCTCAACATCCAGGAAACTCAATCATGTCTGGCCGTTACTGCATCCAAGAAAATACAGTAAAATCAAAGCTGATTTTATTTTTTAAAGGTTAAAATAAATGTGTTTTTTGCTGATCTGTAGACTGCTGCTAAAATTAAATTAGGGAATAATTCTCTGTTGCACATTGTGCATATTTGCACAATGTATACCAATCTGATCTGACAGCGTATTCTGTTCTGGAAAATAGATCATGAATTACAAATGGAATCCACAATTATAAAACATCCCAGCTAATAAAATGGTTTAAAGTGCAACACCAGGACGCATTCAATGTTTCGAATCACATTTGAATGGCCTATACATGATTTTCTTCAGCAGGATGCTAGAAAATATCAACAAGTTTACAATGACATCATTATTCTGAACAGACTTAAACTGTTCGACATATTTTAATCTACAGATTATTTTCCAAATTACTGAAAGAAAATCTTTTGTATGTGATTTTAATAAATAACTTTATTCCCTTTTTTATTTTCACTAAGACCCACCCAGCATTAAAGAAAATAATGATTATTGATAGTTTAAGGTAGTAATGCAATCATGTTAAACTAATATAATTTCCCCCTTTTTAAAGTCCTTTTAAAAAATAAAGTTGAAAAAGTAGATTGAAGTTATTTTAAATCAGGTTTTACTTTCTTCTTTCTGTATTTTTTCCAAACTTAACCAGGTTCAGTTAAACTGCCTATAAAATGTTTGCTCCGAATATTGTGACTCGTGTGTTTCTTGTGGTTTCTGGTGAAAATTTCACTGCTTGGTCCTTTTAATTTCTTACACTTTCATGTGCAAAAGAGTGAAAAGATGGATAGAAAAGAAGTGGGGAATGCCCCGCCCCGTTACGTTAAGCTCCACCAATATATGTAACCACAGCAACAAACAATTTATTAATAAAAAAAAATATTTACAAAGCCTGACGATGAATGTGTGCTGTGTTGAATCCTGCTGCTTAAACAGCATTTATTGTTTAAAACGTAAATGTTTCATAGACATAACTCTTCTCTGTTCGCTCTTGTAAACCTTTGTATTGTGTTTGTTGGAGTCTAGTTTTGTAAACTTTTGCCTAAAGTTAGACATGGTGTTGTTAATAAACCAGCAATCCTGCAAACTTTGTTGATTTTTTTATTTTATTATTGTGGTTTCTTTTTTTTTTCCTAGATGGCTTCAACTGTGAGGTTTTAGTAATTACTAAATTTTATAAATACAAGTTATTGTCTTTCTTTTCAAATTCTGAGTGCATGGATGAAATAAAGTTCACTTTCATGCAAAATTCAGAGGCCCCCTGAACGCCTCACACACCTGCAGTGTGATGTCAGAGCTCCTGGAAAATTTCAGTAACCGAATAAAAATATTGAGGCCAAATTAATTGGAAAGAAGTGACTTAAAGAGAAGTTGATATATATTTTTAAATATGTCTAATGTGCTGCGTTGCCGTGAACAAAACATGTTTTGGTGAGTTAGCATTTGAGCTAGTTTATGCTACAGGGTGAACCCTTTGGGGGTTTTTTCAACTACCTTTAAAAAACTTGAAAAAAAAAAAAGTTTTGTGCAGTGAAAATATGTACAATTATGTAAGTAATTGGCCCACCTGGTTCGGCTTGGTTAGCTAGCAGCCAAGCTAATACAGTAACACTGGCTACATTAGCCAGCGTATATTAGGGATAGTATTACTTCAACATCTTTTCTCATGAAGAAGTGAAACTTTAGGTAAAAATACTACTGAGTACCGAGTACCTTACTTCTGTCCTTTTAGAAATTCAAAAAGTATTTTCAGTATATACTCTTGGAAGACAAAACGCCACTCTATGCTAGCTTTATTTCAATGTTAGAATGGCTTAATAAACAAAACTTTTAAGGATTTTCTTGTGGCCTGCCATTAGATCAGGTTGTTTTATTGTATGTTTCAAATATGACAAAAAAATAATTGGTACATGTTTAAAAATATGCGGAAAGGTGAACAAAGCCAGTTCACCTCCAGTCCTGGAGTTTCCTTTTCTTTCCTTTAACGTTTCTCCAACTTCACTAATAACTTCATATGTGAGATTTTTAGATCAAATGATGACTAAACCTTTAAGATATGAGGTATAAAATTGTCTCTCCACTATTTTAAGATGATCTGATGTGGAACAGTGACGCCATGACTCTCCATGTAACACGAAGCTGACTTAAACCTTCATTTAGCCAGAATGAGTCACGGTAGCCCTTTATTCACACTCACTGGCTGATGAATGATGATGCAGATGTGTCACTTAGCAGCCAAAGATTCAATGTTTGGAAAATCAAAGATCAAATTGTCTTTAAGTTTTTTTTTTTTTTCTGTTTGCTTTAAAGAATTCATCAAGGTTAATCTAAGACTGGAATAAACAAAACAGTTTGGATCAAGGTCCTCATTACTACAGATACAGCTTTCCAGATTTCAATCGTCAGTCATTTGTTCAACTTCTTCCAGTTAAACCAAGAGTTCAAGTGGAAAAAACACAGATTGCCTTTTAAATGGAGCTTATCTGTAGGTCTACAGGTTTTCTGAAGTTCATGTAGTTCCTGTACCTCCATTTTAAAAGGATTGTTTTGGTTATTGAAACACTTAACTTAGACCTGTTGATCCCTAAAAATCCTCAACTCAAGAGCAGTTTTTGAGCAGT